GTTGGAAGCGGGAGACGCCGCCAGGTACAGCTAGGCAGTGGGCTCGGGGATTTTTACCTCTCCGCCGACCGACGTGACATTCAGTACGCGGTCAACGAGCTCGCTCGGCACATGGTTGCGCCGAGGCGCCGCGACATGAATCAAGCCATCTTGCTTGGAAGGTACCTGCAGCAGCAACCGTCCTTGGTGCGGGTCACGACCTTGGAGGCGCACGATGGACCCCTGCAGCTGGACGTCTTTTGCGACAGCGATTGGGGAGGATGCGTGGAAACCCGCCGCTCTACAGATTGCCACGTCGTCGTCCTAGGTGGCGCGGTGGTGATGATCACCTCGACGCAAACACAGCCGGGCCTGCCAGCGACAAGCAGCCCAGACGCAGAGCTAAGAGGTATCAGCCGAGCCAGGGAAGCCATCTTCGTGCACGACCTCGCGGTCCTTCGGCCTCACGGTCGAGGTGCCAAGGATATGGTCGGACAGCTCTACCGGCATCACCGCCGCAAAGCGGATAGGACAGGGAACGAAGCTTCGCCACCTGGACGTTTCAGAGTTCTACGTCCAAGGAGCAGCCCAAGCAGGAAAGGCCCTGCTAAGAAAGGTGGAGGGAACGGAAAACCCGGCGAACTACTTGACGAAGCACCCAAAGACGGGCAACGAGGTTGCGCAAGCTTTGCCATCCCTGGCTACGGTTGACCCCAACCTAGTCGCGGGAACCGCCGCCCTTGAGAGGCATGCCGTGAAGCTTGTGCGGGAGAACCCGCCCAGTCAATGGAAGCCGGTTTTACCCTTCAAGCCTTCTCTGGCAATCGCCAGTGCCACATGTAGTCACAGTAGATCCTCGGAGTGAGGGCACAGCCGAGGGAAGAAGAGCTCATCCAGAGGACCCTTCAGACCACCATGCTGTTGGGACTGATAACCTGGTTGGTTCTCCTCTGGTTTGTGTGCCGATGGGCAACGGGATGCCGCAGCCGAGCGCTGCAAAGGTGGAGGCAGCCAAACCGGCAGCCGGAACACGAGGTTTCGGAGCCGACGAGCGAGCCTGAGGAAGAAACCGAGGCAACAGCCTGAGCTGACGAACCCCCAGCTGAAGTGGCGACGCAACCTATCGCTGTGGAGGACCTCTTCCGCGCACCGGCGCGGGCCAGACCGCCGCAAGACCTGCCACCACCAGCTCCCGAGCCGGAACCTCTCGACGGGGATGCAGCGGCAACCCCGCCGGACCTCAATGCGGGGACTCAGCGGCCAAGACGCCGCCGACTGCGACCGGGAGCACGCCTGCCCCCGGTGCCACAGCACGACTTCGGTGAGATGTACTACGCGCCCACGCGACGCACGGTTCACCTCTACAGGAACTGTGTTGGGCTGGCCTCGGTGGTTTTCGAGGGATGTCATCACCGAGAACTTCTGCCTCAACTGCTGGGGTAGGATGTTGATAGGAACACCACACGAGGACAGTACGCACTTCCTCGTTGTTGGGGAGGACTACACGCCGCACGTGTTTCCAACCTGCGACGACATTCGCGGGTGGGCCCGGCAGATCTCTATCTGCCAGCACTGCCGTCAGCATCACTTCGTACGTGGTGGCTGAGCGGTGAGCCCCGCCCGTGCGGGGAACTCCGCCAACCCCTGGGCATTGGAGGGGGGTGCGAGTATGCAGGTAGGAATCCTTAGCCAACACCCAAGGGCTTGAGCTAAGTAGGCTACCCCTTGTAGTTTGTGTACAGACACTTTTGCACCACTGCGCACCGCAGCCCTTTTCAGGCTTCAAGAAAAAGAGTCCTGCCTTGAGCCCAGTAGGACCTCGTAGGAGAAGCCCGGTTTTTAGCCTTCGCATTAGATCGAAGTTCGGCAAAGCTTTCCAAAGCCCCGTCACGGACAACCCGCAAGCATAGCTGATTCTTCCCTGTGTTCGCATGTCGGATGTGTCCTGGTGCAGCCTGGATTGCCAGTGAAGTGGTGAAAGTGTCGGCCTTGTGCCAGGAAGCAAAACCAAGCCAGGCGTTCCGGTGCCTCAGGCAGTTTTGCCATGGCTTTGTCAAGCTGATTTTTGTGTTAGCCGACGTGTTCTCGTTATATGATCTCCTCGTATGAGTGTTGGATGTAGAGATCTTAAACCCTGGACGTCATTTTCGCACCATGAGAATGCCGAGCGGTTGAAGACGTCGGCACTTTCCTGAGATGGTTGTGTGCCGATTGCGCCGCATGTGCCGGCTTAATGCTCAGAGCTGGTCACGGGGGCTTCCATGAGTATAAAAGATATGCCCACCAGATGGCAAGCATCCCAGACACACAGCTCATGCAGTTGCGTTGCAGAACCTACTGTAGGTCGTATTGGGAGTATGGAGCAGCAACACTATTCGTAAGAGATGATTGCACGCCTTGCAACGCTAGGAGTCTAGAAAGAACAGCGGCCAGCGTTTCTGGAGATCGGCTCGCTGCGCTCCCATTCTGGGCACCTTTGCTCGCGACTTGTTGGCACAGCTGTAAGGTCACTCGCTCCTGAGCGGCCAGTAAGCTAGGAGGCTAAGTTGTAACTTTTCTCTCAGACGTAACTTTTTCACACCTACTCCACCTACCCCTCCTACACTCACAACCCCACCTCTACCCCGCCTGCACAACCTACCCCACCTACCCCTTAGCGGAAGAGGAGGGAACGAGCTCATTCACACAACCATGAGCGGGTTGTTTGAGGCTAAACCAGAGGACCCTTTTCCCCACTCGCCAGGCCCTTACCTGAAGCCGCTCGACAGCCTTATATCAAGGCGCTATGCTCATTGACAACCATAAGGATTGAATCCAGCGAGAACCTTGTACCCAAGACGAAAGCCCTGAGGAGTGAATCCAACAGGAAATTTTACCGAAGACGAAAACCCTAACGAGTGAATCCAGCGAGAACCTTTCACTTGAGACGAAAACCCTAAGGAGCGAATCCATCGAGAACCGTGCACCCAATACGAAAACACTTAAATGTGGGGTTCTGATTTGGTGTGAAATACAGAATTTATATTGGGGTTTGGTGCTAAATACACCAGACCAAGTTAATACACCACAAAAAGTTAGTGGCTTCGTGCTGAAGACACCAGGAAAACTTATAGTTAAGATGCCTGTTTTGCAGAGATTTGCTGTTTTGGGAGCCGCAAAAGTTACAACTTAATCAGTTTTGTTGAAAAAGCTGGAAAGCTACATCTGGGAGAGAGAAAGTCACAACTAAGTGTTCTACCGCCGATAACCCAAACAAAGCAGGTGATTCCAAGCATCGCTTCGCTTTCTGCAGTGTAGATATTGGTGGATCGAATGATTCAGAGCCGATTTCAAGTGAGGCGCGCGGTGAGGCGCAGTGAGGGGCACGCGCTCTCCGCCTCGCATGGCCTCCGCCGAGGCCGCCCATCGGCCAGTTGAGCAGAGAAAGTGGCTGTGGCCGAGGGGGGGCGAGGGGCAACTGCGTTGCCTGCGCTGTTTTCTTTGCGTCCCTCCACGCTCCGTGCTGCTAGCAGGGCCTAGCAGGCGCCTAGCAGGCCAAAAAGGTCAGGGGCGAACTTGCGCTCAACGCTCGCCTTCTCAACTGCTCGGCACTGCAAGGTGCCTTGGTGCCGTATAGAAGGTGGCGTCGCACTCAGTACCTTCCGAGAACAACCATGCGAAAGGGTTGAGCTCAACTGAGCAGCTTGTGGAAACGGAAATTGTTCCTGAGCTCCAGGTGAGACAGGCGTGCTCCTGCCTCTTTTCAAAGATGAGTGGTCCTGGAATTTGCGGGGGCCTTGAGATGAATGTCCAGGAAAAGAAAAGCCTCTCCGGCGGAAAGCAGGGGTGGTGTTACTGTTTTTCAGAGATTTCTACCGGATCCCATGGTTTTTTGATATCTGATTTTGGTTGCTAGGCAAGCAATCAAGCCAGCAAGCCAGCAATCCAGCAAGCAATCCAGCAAGCGAGAAAGCCAGCGAGCAAGCCACAGCCAGCCAGCAGCTGGCAAGCATCAACCCCCATCGCCTAATGAGGCGGCGGTTTAACAAAAATGGGATCGAGCGACGGTGCAGATTCAAAGTTTGGGATCCACGGCAGTGCCAATTGAGGGGGAGAATTTAAGAAACGGTATCATCGGTTGGTGACGGGGCGGTTTATTAAATGTGATTCACGGCCATCAGCTAACGAGGGGGCGGGCTTAAGAAAAGCAAAATAGGAATAACCGCCATCGCTAATGAGGGGATGGTTTGCCGTTATAGCCTGATTAGGGGCAGTAGTAGCCGCATGCTTGTCTCCATGCCAATCATGTGTCAGAACTTCGCCTCACCGGCGAAATTGCGAATGGCTCAAGCGAGAAAAGATCGGCATCAGAGCCCAAGTCGAGAAGGGAGGTTGCTGAAGGCATGAAAGAGTGAGGGTTTTGAGATCTAGGCTGTTCTAAGCAGCAGCAGCTCGCCCAGCAGCCTCAAGTTCTATAAGCTTAAGTCCTGAAACAGTGATAGAGTACCGCGACGACCATCACGACGACCACGACAAAAGCCGCTGTTCAGTCAGTGAAGATTGGTTGTTCTTCAAAGTCATGACGGTTGTCTGCGCAGGTCACCCATAAGCCTGCATATCGACCAAACTGGTGCGATCGAGTCCGCTCGTTCTACAGTCTACTGAAGTCGCACTGCAAGCAGAAAGAACTGAAAGAGCTTTTTCGCTTTTCCAGGGACCTCCGGCGAGTGCTCTACTTCTTGGGCCTGGGCTACCTCTTCTGCGGTGTAGGGGTTGCTGGGCCCCGAGAGGTCGCAGCACTGCCGCAGCACTGCGCACCTGCGATGACGGTGGAAGTACAGTCATCTCCCGCCTGTGCATTTCTTCCCACCTGCCACTCTGCTGTGGCTGTGAAGAATGCAGGATCGCCTCATCTCTGTGCGGCATTGAGTTTCCAGTCGTGTGGAAGGGGTATAGTGTACTTCCGCAAGACATGTCATGCCCAACAAGTAGGGAATGACCTGAAAAGCGCAAAAGCACGAGTCGAGGTGTCGGACATCTTCATGAGCTCCATCGAGGAAATTACGGTCATGGCCCCGGACGAGGGCAGACCGAGCTCCGTTCTGTGAGAACCGGCCCCAAGCCCGAACCAGCTCGCGGTCAGGCGAAGACCACCAAGAAGATGAATCCGACCACGGGTGACTTTGCGAGTGCCCTAGCTTCGGGATGCTTGGACCCGAAACCCAAATCCTGATCCCATGATTCAATGCTTCAGTCTGCGATCTGAAAGCCCCTCTTGCCTGCCGCCATTGTGTCGATTGGCTTCGTTTACTGCGAGGCTTCAGAAAAATGGGAGTAGTTGTTCAAATGATGCCGCACCAACTGGTTTGAAGAAATAGAGCAACTAGAGCAACTGACCCGGCATGAAACCGCATACGTTCATGTGTCCTAAAAGCTTCTCTCGAACAGCGCAAAGCATGGTGCATTATTCTCAGGACATCCCTTCCCTAAAGATGGTATACTCAGGGATGTGCAGCTTTCCGCGCTCTCAGGACGGAATTGCTGATGCAGCTTCTCGCTCTGTGTGCTCAGGTGAGGGTGAAGGTCTGGAATGCAACAGTGCGGACCCAAGCAAGCGTAACATGTCTTGATTGTGGCTTAAGTTCTAAGTCTGGGCCCCGGGTCCGAAGGCAGGTTGTGCTTTCAGCCATGCCTACAGCATTTGCATTGCGAAGCTGCGACAGCACTTCATGGTGTTCACGCGATGTGACAGCAGATGGTGGTCTGACGAGACTCAAACTCCTCGCATGTCCGTCGCTTTGCAATTGTGCTAAGCCTGCTAGCCTCTCTTTCTGATGGGGTCCGAAGTCCAGAATCCGACAGGGAGAGCCGAGCACAGACCCCAGCAAGTCTTACAGCCAGTCCACAACTCCCAGGCCCGTGTCGCACCTGAGGTTGCCAATCTGACCCTGATGGCACTTGGTTCTTCAGCTCCGGAGATCTTGCTAAGTCCCGCTCTCAGGATCGTTCCTGTGGCTCTCCCAACATATGATGCAGAACTAGCCAAACCCGGTGACTCGAGGCTCTTCGGGAAACGGTTGTAATGATAATCCCCTCGCCCCCGGAGGTTGTTTTGCGGAGGGTCTCTTGCGGTGGTCGCTTTTTTTGGGGTGGCGTGAAAAGTCTCTGGAGCTGCACTTTGCGAGCTGGTAGTTCAGTGAGATGTCTGAGGAACTGCATTCTGCCAGCTGGGTTTAGGGTCTAAGCTTCTCTTTCCTTTTTCTCTAATATAGTAAGTAATTAAGCTTTTCCTCATACCAGGCCCCTAAATTTTTTGGGATTTGGGGCCCGGAATATTTTAATTGTCACCCCTTTACATTATCACCGGAATCCAAAATCAATTGTTTGGCAGGATCTGGGCTGAGCTGGGTGTGCAATCTAAAGTAGTCTTCTGCCGGGAAAGTCTGGGCCAGCAATTTTTTTTTAAATTGTCACTCTGTTTACTAGTGTCACAGTTATATTAGGCCCGGACTTCCTGCTTTGGCACTTTTTTCGTGGATGCTGAACGGTTTGGGTCTGTTGGTGGGCGTAGGTGCCGTAATTATGCTAGTTCCATTTACTGTTTTGTTGTTTGGCATGATGTTGCGAACTTTAGCAAACGGCAACTCTCTCCGTGGGCAGTAGGGCACATATATTGTTCTATGATTCTTCTGGCCTGGTTCTGATTCTTGACGAAGCGTGGGGCTGCATGTCGTCGAGTCCACGACAACTATGCAGATGCTCGTGCTGTTGCCTGCGCCATCGCAAGGGTTTAAGCAATGGTGAAGAGATCACAATAATCACATTACAGTCGACCAACAAGATCATCACATTTTGCGTGTATTCGACAAAAAGGAAGGCCCACCCATATTGAGCAATCATCTGGTATGCTTGAGCTGGCTTCACCCTCTTTAGTAGAAATCTTCGTGGTTAGGATGTTCATACGGGGACGAGATTGAGAAGCGCGATCCCCTTTAGCGCTATGCTGCTGCCTGATCTGTGTCTCAATGGTTGGAGTTTGGAGGACCCCAACATCGGACAGAGACACTCATTCAAAGAAGGGCATAATCAGCCTGCGAAAAGCTATGATGTATTCGAACACTGGTTGCGATTCCCCTCAATAGAAAGCAGCCTCGCGCACGAGGTATCATTGAGCTTGTTGGTAACCGAATGTACAGCGGCGAGCTGGGACCCTCAACGATTGTGGGCCGCGCACCCGGGGGGCCTCAGTCAGGTGTTCACCAACACAAAAAGGATTGGTGTAGGTGCACACAGGTCGTTCCTTGCGGTTTGCATGGATTTCAAGGTATCGAAGCACAAATTGGGTTCGAATTTTGAGATACGAAATACCAATCTTTAAAAGTTGTGCAGTGTTTTTAAGAGGCAAACACTCGATTGAACCCGTGAGGCTGAGCTGTTGACAGCTCGTGCTGGTGCATGAGATGCTTCATGAGTTTGGAAAGGCTACTGGCGGGATGAGCAAAGGCAGTATGAAATTCAAGGCCCTCGTCCGCATAGGGTAGCAGGGGGACTCAGAGTCTAGATAGACTGACGTACACACAGCAACATATCAAACCAGCTGCCTAATTGCCCTTTTTTGGCAGAAGAGGAGTAGGAAAGGAGCATGACTACCAGTACTTGTACTGCTACTTCGAAAATTAGTACAGTACTACTAGTTCGACTACTAATATTAGTAAGACTACTACTGCTGCTGCTACTACTACTACTGCTGCTGCTACTACTACTACTACTACTGCTACTACACTACTGCCACTTCTATTACTACTGCTACTCCGACTACACTACCGCTGCTGCCCCTACCATCTCGACTGCCGCTACTGCTGCCGCTACTGCTGTTGCTGCTGCTGCTGCTGCTGCTGCTACTGCTGCTGCTGCTGCTATTGCT